AATACATTTTTTAAATAAAAACCAACATTATCCTTACAGTTTCAAAAAAATTGAGCCTTATTAAAATTAACCATTCTTTCTAAACAAATGAAATATCACAGTCTGAATATTTGTGTTACCCCCAAATTCACGTGTTAAAATCCTAGGCCCCAAAGAGATGGTACCAAGAGAAGTATCTCAGGAGGTGATTAAATCCACCCTTTGATCTAATTACTGGCCTTATAAAAAAGGCCTGAGAAAGCTTGTCTGCTTCTTCCACTACATGAGAACATAGTGAGGAGGTGCCACCAGACACCAGAGCCTTATTTTTGTTGGACTTCCCAGCCTCCAGAACTATGAGAAACAAATTTCTGTTCATAAACTACACAGTCTAAGGTATTGTTATAATAGCCTGAATGGACTAAGACAGCAATACTATTCCATTATCTTAACTTTCAAAAGGAAAAACATCTAATGAAGACATATAGTTCAAAATGTATCTTTGCTCTGAGATGAAGAAAAAGGAAAAAAATGTTGTTTTTCTGTCAACTTTGCATTATTTATATGAAGACAATGATAAAGTGATAAGGCTGCCTATAGGCTTATCAGATGCATTTCTCAAAATTAAGAGCCTAAATTAAGAACAGTTGGCAAAATGTAACCATGGATCAAAAAATAAAAAAAAATTAAAAAAATAAAAAAGATTGCATCTGTATGAATATATGGAATCCTTTTTTCTTTGTCATCATTCCCTAAGCAACAGAATATAGCAACTATTCACACGGCATTTACATTATAAGTAATCTAGAAATGATTTAAGCATATGGGAGAATATGCACAGATTATATGCAACTATTATGCCATTGCATATCAGGAACATTGGCATCTGTGGATTTCTATAGATGTGGGAGGTAGATCCTAAAACCAATCCTCCATGGATACGGAGAGACAACTGTATTTCTCAAAAGTATATACTATATACATACAGAAGATCTTACCAAGTAAGGCAATCCGAGCTTCAATTAAATGAAAATGGTACTTACAACATTTTCAATTATCATTTCAATTTACCCAACACTAAAAAAGGGAATAAATGAAATTCAAGATCTGACAAGCAGCATGACATAGACACTACCCTTTTCTCTTCTAATTAATCATTATCCCTTAATTTCTAACTCAAGAAAAGCCAAGGCAGAAGCAGTATTTACCACTATATGGATGTACTGATGGCTATGATCCCAAAGTTCTAAAGTTTAGTCTTGAATGTGGTTTTTATCACTGAAGCTCAGTGAGGATAGAAGTATTAACAAAAATCAACATTCACTTGTTTGAATTTTAAACCTCAATTTAAATACTGGTATTATAACATACTTAAGAGACTATATTTTCAGTTTAAATAAATTAACATAGAGCACAGTACCTGGAACAAAGTAGAATTGTTGGATGAGTTAACTCATGAAGCATGGCTTTATGCACAGGTTTGAACCTTTGGGTAATACCCTGAAATTTTCACACACAACAGGTAAACCTAATCGCACCACCTAATACTTGAATCCCCTCTACATTATTCCTTCCTAGTGGTCAACTAGGTTAAGTCTGAACACTCCTACTAATCTATTTTCTGAAATTATCCACACTCCAACTTCAAAGAACTTATGTCAGAAAGTTCTTCAAATTTGCCAAAATGAGGAATGTCTCCCTAAAACTGGCCCATTTCTATCTAACATATGAAGAAAGCATGTCGTATTATTACTTCCAGGCTAAAAACACCTGGGTCCATCTGTTTATCACATTTTTGAAAAAAAATTTTTTTAGAGACGGGAATCCTGCTATGTTGCCCAGACCAGACTCAAACAATCTTTCCACCTCAGGTTCTCAAGGAGCTAGGATCACAGGCAAAGTACACAGCTAAGGTTTATATTTTATTTAAACCATCTAATAAAAAAATACTATCAGGCACTGAGTTCAACTATATTAAAATTTGTTTTCCCTCAAAAATCTGTATCATAATAACAATTACAATGTCAATTAGATTATCCATGGTAAAAGAGAAAGCTGGTACAGCCAGGTGTTCTATGACTCTAGAATCTCCACCCTCCAACTGGACACTCAACAGACTATGTAAAAATTAACAGATAAAATAAAGGGAAATCAAATGATACTGTTTACTTTCTACACTGTTTATTGAGAACAGGGGTAACTGAAGATAAATAACAAACCTGAAATTTAGCCACACAACTGGAATTGCAAAAGTTATACAGTTTTCCATCAGGCATTGTGGCTTGGTATTGAGGTAAAGAGTTTCGCTTACAAAAATGGCAAATAATTCCCAAACCTAGGAGAGAAAATGTATATATCTGATTTCATTATAAGGAAATAAATTTTTTTTAAATTTTAACTGCTTAGATTTTTTGAATTAAACCTTCTGTAAACTACTCTTTTATTATTTGCACCTTTAATAATCAAGATTATTTGTACCTTAAAAAATATTGTCAAAAAAGAAGACTGTATTGTACCTACACGATACATGTATACATCAAAAAAAATTTGTTTTAGATAATTTTTTTGGATGGAACAACAATTTTAGCTAAAAACGTAGATATAGCGAGAACTTTAAAAAATTTAAAGTAGTAGAGAATGATCAAAATAATTAGAAAAGTTTGCAGTAAGAAAGTTTAGTATAATAATAAAAATTTAAAAATAAAAGCAGTTAAAAACAAGCATAAGAGCAAAGTTAAAGGACAAAGAGTAGTTATTTGAGCAAAAAGTAATTATGTTGTCAAGTTTAACTTTCCAAATACCTGAAACTTACTTTGAGATTTTGCATATTTTGTCTTGTGACTGTTCATGCAAGCAGTTGAACAATATGGCTCCATATATCCATTAGGACCTATACACTGAGTCATATCAAAAAACCTGCACTGTGCTCGGCAACCAGTACAAGTTGTCAGTTTTCCATATTTCTAAAATTTGAAACATAAAAAGATAATTTTAAAAATCACAATTTAACTAGAAAAAAATTATCATGTTTTTCATTACACTTTTTTGTCTCTGTAAAACAATTCTGTTAATCTCTAAATGGGATTAGTCAGTAGTCTTCATCTGGATCCAAACTGTTAACTGCAACAACTGCTACATTAGGTTCAAAAAAAGCAATGATCAACCGCTAAGTCTGCTTCAAAAATAGGGTGTTTTTCTCCCTTAACTTAGTTTAACATAAACCCTACATAAAGATCTCAAAATCTAGGAAAGACATAGTTTTTTTTAATTATAGTGAAAACATACTTCTTTGTCACTTGACAGAAGAAATTAAATGGAGCTATTAATGTAAGCCTAACTAATCAAGACTTAATAAAAGTACATTAAAGGAAGAGTTTAAAGAGTTGAAATACCATTTCCATTGAACTGCTATCGTCCAAACACTTTTTAGAACTTCTCTTAAAAAATGGTATTACTCACCTACATTAAAACCTTATTTCACTAAAATAAAATACAAATGTTTAAAAACACGTTCAAATTACATTGAAAATTATTTCTATCACAACTAAGGTTAATAATTAGTCAACAAATAATAAAATTAATCTTCCTGCCACAAATGAATATACTCATGTACTACATAAGGATGTTTCAGTCAAAGATGGACCACAGAATACCATATTTTACTGTATCTTTTTCTATGCTTAGATATGTATGGATACACAAATACTTACCATTGTGTTATAACTACCTACAGTATTCAAAATGGTACCATGCAATACAGATCTGTAGCCTAGGAAAAACAGGCTATACCATATAGCCTAAGTATGCAGTAAGCTATACCATATAGGTTTGTGTAAGTACACCCTATGATGTTCACACAATGATGAAATTGCCTACCAATGCATTTCTCAGAACACATGCCCACTGTTTAGTGATGCATGACTGTATTTGCTAATAATGAAGTAATTAAAATAAATGAGGTAAGAAACACGAAGGTATGGTTTGGCGCCCATAGCACAGTGGTTACAGCGCCAGCCACATGCACCGAGGATGGTGGGTTCAAACCCACCTGGGCTAGTTAAACAACCACAACAACAAAAAAAATAGCCAGGCGTTGTGGCAGGTGCCTGTAGTCCTAGCTACTTGGGAGGCTGAGGCAAAAGAATCACTTAAGCCAAAGAGTTTGAGGTTGCTGTAAGCTGTGATGCCACAGCACTCTGAGGGTGACATAGTGCGACTCTGTCTCAAAAAAAAAAAAAAAATTAAGAAGGTCGGCTTGGCGCCTATGGCTCAAGTGGCCACATACACCTACGGTGGCGGGTTCGAATCCAGCCTGGGCCCACCAAAAACAACAGTGATGTCTGCAACCAAAAAATATCCAGGCATTGTGGCAGGCACCTGTGGTCCCAGCTACTTGGGAGGCTGAGGCAGGAGACTCACTTGAGCCTAGGAGTTGGAGGTTGCTGTGAGCTGTGATGCCACAGCACCCTACCCAAGGGGATAGCTTGAGGTTCTATCTCAAAAAAAAAGAAGGTAAATTGGGGGATGGCTTCAAACATCACAATGACAAAATCAGTAGCACTGAAATATGGATAGTCTTATAAAAATACAATTCAGATGAACTGGTATGTTTATACTAAAAAACTGACCAGATAATCACAGTTAAAAATCAACCACAGGAAAAAGCAAACCTACAAGTGCAACTTTTCTGAGTGCAACTTGTTGTGAGTGCTTGCAGAAGTTGTCTTAATCAAGTCATATCAAATATCACAAATCATGCTGCAAAATAATTGTATCTGTCTTTTCTACCAGATGTTGGAATTATTTAACTCCACCTTCATACCCAAGAGCATGTAGTACATTATGAAAATACAAGAAAGCCTCAAAACGTTACACGGATGGGTGAGTAAAGAGATGTCAGGGAAGATGATATGCAGTTCAAAAGTACCACATGAAATGGATAAACTGTATGGAAAAATTTCACCAACACCACAGGATTTCAGAAAATGAAGCTAATAAATTGAAGATAAGAGTAACAACAAGTGCTCACTTTGGCAGCACATACACTAAAATTGGAACAATACAGAGAAGATTAGCTTGGCCTCTGAGCAAAGATGACACAGAAATTCATGAAGTATGCACTGTATTTTTAATTCACAGTCAAGATGTGGAATCAACCCAAGTGCCCATCAACACAGGATGGATTAATAAACTGTAGTACATGTACACCATGGAACACTATCCAGCTATAAAAAAGATAGAAGACTTTACATCTTTTGTATGTAACTGTAGAATATTCTCCTTAGTAAAGTTATCACAAGAATGGAAAAGCAAGTATCCAATGTACTCAATACTAATATGAAACCTATAGACTAATGAATATATACCCACAGAAAAGAAAAACAGAATTAAACTCATGTTTCAGGGAGGGAAAAAAAGGAGGGAGGTCAGTTAGCTCTCACCTAATGGGCATGAAGTAAGGGTATACAGCACATCTTCTAGAGCAGCGGTTCTCAACTTGTGGGTCATGACTCCTTTGGACTATATTAAAGGTTTGCGGCATTAGGAAGGTTGAGAACCACTGTCTAGAAGGACACAACCACAACTTGAACTCTACCTAACAAACGCAGACAATGTAACCTAATTGTACCCTCATATTAATCTGAAGTTAATAAAAAAAGAAACCAAAATAATTATAATCAACACCAAAAAAAGGAGGGGAAGAAGACAACTTGTTGCAACAAACAATAAGTATGAGAAAACATAACTGTTTATGTGTCAGGAATGTAATATTATTTCTCATACTATTAAAAATAATTCCACTGGGCAAGGTAGCTTATAATCCTAGCACTCTGGGAGGCCCAGGCAGGAGGATTCCTTGAGCTCAGGAGTTTAAGACCAGCCTAAGCAAGACCCCATGTCTACTAAAAATAGAAAAATTAGCCAGGTATCATGGCAGGCACCTATAAACCCAGCTACTAGGGAGTCTGAGGGAAGAGGATCACTTAAAACCAGGTGTTTGAGGTTGTTGTGAGCTAGGCTGACACCAAGGCATTTCAGCCTGAGGCAATAGAGACTTTTTTTTTTTCAAAAAAAAAAAAAAATTCAGGTTACCTATTATGTATTTACGCAAATGTTGCCTAAAGGAAGCCCTAGATTTTACTCTTCAAAGTGAAAAACCAACTCATTTTTCATCTCTGCTAGGTCCCAAAAAGAAATAGTTATCAATAGTAAAACGATAACAAAAAGAACAAATGACTATAAACATTAGATCTAATTATGAGTCTACAACAGTACAAAGACAATACAGGAGAAATGTTCTAGTTTCTTCTGTTCCTCAGATCTACTTGATGACTTAAATTTTTATACTGGAAAAAGGGAAAAAGAAAATAGATCAATAAGATAATGGAAGGCTGGGTGCAGTGGCTCACGCCTATATTCCTAGCACCTTGGGAGGCCGAAACAGGTGGATTGCTTGAGCGCATGAGCTCAAGATCAGCGTAGCAAGCAAGACCTTGTATGTTTAAAAAAAAAAAAAAAAAAAAAAATTAGCCAGGCGCTATGGCAGACATGGCGGACTCCTGTAGTCCCAGCCTTTCAGGACACTGAAGTAAGAAAATCACTTGAGCCCAGGAGTTTGAGGTTGCTGTGAGCTATGATGCCACAGCACTCTACCCAGGGTGACAAAGTAAAACCATCTCCAAAAAAAAAGATAATGGAAGATTAAAAAATGTTTAAAACCTGGAAACTGCGATACAAATTATACTAAAAATTATTTAAGACACCTGCCATTGTGTTGCAGGTTTAAAGAAACAAATCAACCAGACATATGTATGAGGTCTCAAGGTATTAGCACCTACAAGTAATTCTTTTACTAACATAAATGAAGCCTCACCACCTACACCAACTCTTGAATTTGATTTTAATTATAAACATTCTTTAAGATGACAAAGTTGAACATGTGATTCTGACACTGATTTTACTGGCAGAATGATTAAATATTAATAGTTTTAAGATATCAAGTAGACAAGGAGCTAGGCAACTGATGCACACTGACAAATACTTTCATCTGAAGAGAATGAAAAAGTAGTATCAGAAAGACTCACTGAGATTATTTCAACACCACCACTTTCATAGCTACCACTGATTCAAACACCAAAGGACTTATTTAATGAAAGTTATTAGCAAAAAGGGAGATAGAATTTCATGCCATCTTTCCTCAGCTTCATATGTATTAAAAATAACCACTTAAATTCCATACAGCCTTTGAATGCATATTATTAATATACATTTAGTGATGTAAATGAAAAAAATTAAATGGAGTAAGTTCAGAATTTATTCTCTTTTCAGGCATGGGTAAAATTAAACCTACATACATCTCTGGTCAAAAAAGATGAGAAGAGAACCAACTGAAATAAGATACTGGTAAAGTTAAAGGTAGGTACAATAGGGAAGTTTATGGTAAATGGTCATTTTCAGTTGATTCATTTAAAAGATATACTTTATATTTTAATTTTAACCAATTTTATATGAATATGAAAATTAACCTTCACATGATTTGATGCATTTAATTAACATTTTGAGAATGGCCTGTCCTTACATGCCAAAAATGTCCAAAGCACAGAACTAGCAAAGAATCCTAAGAGGAAGTGCTAATCAAACCTCAATAGTGATATAATATTGTGCTATTTGTTAAGATTGAGAGATAAATTGAATTAAAAATTATACTTCAGTTATTCGATAAAACCCTGAAATTATCTTTGTGTTCCAAGATTTGTTTGTACAGAGAAAAAAAGTCAAAAAACGTATTCACCATCATGTTTTAATTTTTTCTACTACTATACCATTTATATATATTTTACTTTTTCTTTAAACATAAATATTCTACTTTTGGAATTTAACAAATTTTTCTAATTGACAATGGATGCTAAAAATTGTGAGTAAAAAGTCTAAAGAGACTTTTTATATTTATTTTATAAATGAGAGACTATTAATATTTATACAGTACCAAATAAAAACTTACACAAATATAGAGGGAAAAATATCAACTTCACCCTAGAGAAACCTGACAGACATTTTTTTAATCAAGTTAACACACATCAATGAGACGCAGACGTCATGTGTCTCCTGATGTGCACAAAGAAGGACACAGTATCACTTGTTAGGTATTCACACCAAAAATGCATTACCTTAATCTAATCCTGAAAAAATACTACACACACACAAATTACAGGACACGCTACAAAACAGTCTATGTTCAAAAATATCAAGGTCATAAAAGACAAAAGAAAAACTGAGGAACATCTCTAGATTAAAGTCCCCAAGCAACAGGGACTAGGTTGAACCTTTAACAACTAGAAAACTAAAGATACAAAGCAACGGTTTTCAAACCTTGAGCACAAGGTAGTAGAGGACTGTATACCTGAGAAAAGGAAACAAACCGTGTGAGCCCTAGAGACACCAAAGCTTCCTGCCTGGAAGGCAGTTGTTAGGGAAGCTACCAGAGCCTATTTGTTTCACTGAATTGAGGAAACAGATGGGAGTTCAGGGCAGCTAGAATTTGGGAAGCAGAGTACTCAAGATGAGGCAACTGCACAAAACAAAGCTCTGGGTATCTACAGAGAAGTATTCATTGTCAGTCTTTGGCTAAGAACCAGTCTGTGCAAACATAAAGAAACCACCTGAAGTCAGAGAAAGAACCACAGAAAAGCATGAGGCCAACCAATTCACAAAGCAAACACATGGCTGGGAGTTTTCTGTGTTGCTACCTGGTCAAGAATGAGAAAATCCTGTAATACAGAAGACATTCAGGTGGGATAGTCAGAAGGTATTATTACCACAGTAGTGGGGATAAATGAACCCTAGGCTTATGTGCTCTACCAAAGGCTATTTAAAAAACTTAAAAGCAAGCCTCACAAGTATACAAATAAAAATAATTCCAAGTAATTTGACAGTATACCAGAACAAAGTCCAAATCAAAATCCAGTAACCAACAATGAGGAATTCACAGTATTTTTTTTAAAAAATTACTAGACATTTTGAAAAATAGCATGAAAATATGATCCATTACCAAGAAGGAAAAAAAAGTTCAAACTACAGAAATAGACTTAGACGTGACAGATATGAAAATAGCACACAAGAACATACAGTAGAACCTCCATAGCTGACCATCTTACTAAGTTGACCTAATCTTCACAGACTGACAGGCACCATATGTACTCAGTGCAAGTTCCTTATGTTAACCATCTCTGTATGCTGACCAGTTTGTTACAGTCCTTTGGATGGTCAACTTACAGAGGTTCTAGTATATTCTGTTATTATTTAAAAGCTAGGAGAAGAAAACAAGAACATATTCGGCAAGTAATATAAGATATAAAAAAGAGACAGCTAGGAGCAACGGCATGCACTTGTAACCAGCTACTCAGAAGGCTGAGGCAGATTTCTTGAGCCAAGGAACTCCAGACTAGCCTGGGCAACATGGCAAGAACTCATTTCAAAAAAACAAATGAACAAAAACCCTCAAATTTAACTCTGAGGAACTAAAAACAGAACATCTGAGATGAAAAATACCCTATATGATATTAACAGTGGATTAGAGAAGATCAATGAACTTAGAAACTCTTCTCAATGAAGCATAGAAGGGAAAAAAAAGACTAGGGGTAAAAAACAATAGATAGAAACTTAGTGACTATGAGACAATAGCAGGAAGTCTACTAAATCTACAGTTGGGATCTCAAAAGAAGAGAGGAAAAGGACAAAAAAAACTTAAAGAAATAACGGCCTATGATCACAAATTGAAGAAGAAACAAGAAATCATTTTTTTTAATTTGCTATGAGAGATATAAATATATAAAATTTGAGTAAGATCCAAAGATTAACCTGGTAAGTTTATTGATGTAAGTATCTTTACAGAGATTCACTGCACTACAGTGAAAATTATTCCTAATTGCATACATTGTTATTCATATACTAATTTATTCATCTGGATTAACAAGATATAAACTTGAAATTTTTTCAAAAGACAGGATTTTGGAGGTTTTTTTTTTCCCCAAAGTTTCAGGCGGGCACAGAAGGAAGGGATTTTTACATCCCATAATTAACTGCTTACTGTGTACAAGCTACTGTGTACTAAAAAATTATATTTGAAAA